AAAAAAAAAAAACAAACAAACAAATAAACAAACATCACACTGCCATTTTGTTCATATATTCCTTCTTCACAAAGCACTTCTGTAGTCTCTGTGTATTCTCCCCCGACGTTGTCACCTTAAAGCAAAACGAGCCACTGCATACAGCTGTGCATATGCAACTGTCAAAAGGCCACAGCCGCCCATTACTTAATATTCCATTAATTATAGTAATAAACAAATATACTAGTTTCCAATTATTTTCACGTCGTTAGTTATTCAGCCGTTGTGTTGTTAACTACAAAATAATCTGCTGATGTTTATAATAAACATTTTTCTCAATTTCCAAGTCCATTTGACCCATCTGAGACAACAAAACAGTCGTCAAAAGGCACTAACTCGCGGAGTAAGATTCTCGCGCGTACCGGGCGAGCCTCACACGGCTGAGGGACGTCCGTTCAGACCTTGTGTTCAACCGCACGCGCGCGCTTTCCTGATCTACACAAAAATACGGGTTGTTTTACATTCTAGACCCTTCTTGACATGTTGTGCACTATTTGTGGATTTAGGATAAGGGATTGGAAGAGTCCACTAAAGAACAGTTGAACATGTCAAACAACCCACCCGTGGAAAGTGAGCACACAGAATCAAAGCCGCCTTCAAGTGGAAGTCTCGAGGAAGATCCACAAGACGAGGAGGAAACCTTTTCTACTCGACAGCTCTTTAAATTTGCATGGCAAATAGCGAAGGGAATGGTAGCTACTGTATTTTTTTACATGTTATCATATTTGACTAGAGAGTTAGCCTTTAAAAATGGACGCTGATTTCAAAGGCGAACTGTATGGGGCATATATTCATTGAGAAAGTAGAATTTCCCTACCGAAATCTACCTGCCCTCAAGAAAAGTACCAAGTTTTCTGATAAAACCACTCTTGAGCGCAAAACAGCCAAATCTGGCTAAATGCCATAAAATGAAATCGGGTAAAAAAATTAGCAAAAGACGAGTTTTAGGAAATGAGTTTTTTCTGCAGTTTTGGTATCTTGAAAGCAACCACACGATCTGCCAACACGCTGTTTACGCCCATTTCGGTTCCTTGAGCTCTCGGTTTTCTTTCAGAATAGCCTACCCTCGATCTTCCCACATTTTTACTCATATTTCCTTGATGTACTCTTGTGACATGAAGCCGACTTCGAAAACCTCGATCGAAACTCAGGTACCTGGGCGTGACTTTTGAAACACTGAAAATACCAGTGGAACAAAAACGGCCGCGATTATACGATGGACAACAACTTAAAAGGACTGAGAAGCAACTCAACCACCGTGATACAAAGCATTATAGGAAAAATGCAGCTCCGTCGCCAGACTTTTCGTATAAAAAGTTATTAACCAATATTAATTCGCTGACCATAGTTAGTAGAGAGAAGACTGAAAACAACGGTGCTGTAGGTTATGTTGGAAACTCCCTGACCGTGCACAATCCTTTGTTTTTTTGTGTACAAATTGTGAGTGAATAAATTAATGAGATTTTTCTATTGGTCAGTAAGTTCAAAATGATAGGAATGCTATTGAACATTGTGCACGATCAGGTCCAGACGGGCTAACGAAAACATATAACAAAGAGTCTAACGCCTTGAGTCTAACGGGTTTCATTACAATTCCACTTTAATAACTATGGCCTAACATAGTAAAATTTCAAAACTCAGGAACAACAAGTTAAAGACAAAATTGAATATTTCGATCGAATCGCTCGAACATCATCCGTGATCAGCAATGTGAAAATGCCAGGTTATATACGAAAAGGTTGTAATGTTCCCCCAGGAGAGGGTAGTACATGGCCGGGAGGTCCAGTCCCTCGTCCCTATTCACAGAGGGTTTTTTGGGGGGATGGTAATGGCCTCCTTGACGCCGTAAAAACCGTGATGGTGCTATTTTTGTCAGATAGAATTTAAGCATTGTGTGGTTTGATGTTGTGACCGCCGCTGCTCGGCAGTGTTCGAAAACGGCAAAAGTTTTAAGGGATTGGTGTTCTTTGATCCGCGTACAAAGGGATTTTGGAAGAATACTTTATAATTATTCAGTTTTGGCTTGTATATTTAAGTGATAGTGTCTGAACTGACGGCTGACTGGCTGTTGATCATGGACATAAACTCTTCCTTGAATTAGTTATCTCTTATTATGTGATGCTTAAATTTGATTTCCCTTTTTCTACCTTTATAACTAGAATCATCTTGCCGAAAAAAATCTTGTTCATAGAGACCTTGCAGCTCGTAACGTCCTTGTTGGCCATGACAATCGGGTGAAAGTGTCTGACTTTGGGTTGATGCGACAAATCTATGAAGATGTGAAGGGCTCAGAAAAGTCCAAGAAACTTCCCGTCAAATGGATGGCTCCAGAATCGCTTTATCGAAGCACCTTTACCATTAAGAGCGATGTGTGAGTAGAACTGATAAGACTTTCAATTTAACGCTAGACTATGGATCTCATCGTATGAGTCTCGTACGGATTAACTTACTTTTAATAGTCTTTTCCGAACTGATTTTTTCATCCCCGACGACGTATACTTAATTTTTTGGCGGAATATAAGTTCTCGAACGCCATCTCATTATAACAAAGTTTGGGTTCAAATTTTGCCATTTGATTTATATTAGTAGGATTTTGCTGGCCTCTGTAAAACTAACCTAGAAAAGGCAAAGCGTGAATTCCCTTCCACAAAATCTTCTTAGCCTTGACCGTCTGACTATATCGCTCTGTAACCATTTTGTTGTTTTCTTTCCTAGCTGGTCCTACGGCGTACTTCTGTGGGAAATGGCCACACTGGGTATGCATACTTAGAGATTTATTTACTTTCCTGATTACAAATGCTTGCTTACTTTTCCTCGTTTCTAATAAAAAACACTGACTCACATAATTGTTTTGGTCCAGGCCCCAGTTATTCATTCCCAGATTCCATCTTTTCCAGCTCTCGCGCGTTTGCCTCTTAATTCCCTCACACGTAACATGCTCCCACGAAAGACAATAGGCCGTGTCCGGGTTGCCCTAGACTACGAGTAGTCCCCCATTTTTCCTCAGGGATAGTAGAGCGAGTGAAACGCGAGCGCTCGTGAAAATCACCCCACGCGAGAAAAAGCGACACGCGGCGGGGAGAGAGAAAAATGAAGCCTTTTCTCGCGTGGGGTGATTAGGAAAAATGGGAGACTACTCGTAATCTAGGGTTTCCCCAACCCACTGTTTCAAAGCGAGGCTAAGTGTGAAGCCACTGATATGAAAATGAGTTTTTTTACATTCATGCAAAGGTAACTCATTATCACAAGAAAGGTTTTGCACTCGTTTTGAAAGTGAGGGTTTTTGTAACTAAGAAATGGCCTTTCCTGAAGGACTTTGCAGTCTACGACCTGAAAAAATAACGTGAAAATGATTGTCAAACTTACTGCCCAGCTTTTTCTGAATAACTGATTTTCTTCTTCTGTTGGATCCAGGAGGCGTACCATACCCTACGCTGACCAACACAGAGCTGTATCGCCTGCTCAGCTCTGGATACCGAATGGAAAAACCTGACATGAGCTCCGATGAAGTGTAAGTTGAACACTCCAGTGATTTGAGGATAGGTTATCACGGCAGAATTATAACAAAATTTTACTTTAAAAAGAGCTTAGTACGACTTTGCCCTTTGAATACGAACAGTTGGTTCCCAGGGTCAAGATCTCCTACTCTCCCTACTCGCTCCGGGGCATGAAAAGGAAACTCGGACCATGCGAACGAGGCTGTAGAGTCCGGCCACTGATGGTCACTGATGATGTATACGGCTGGCTCCGCAAGCAAACAAAATGAAGTAAATCTTGCGAGAAAGGAATTGCCTGCGTTCTTTTCAGAAGAAAAACAACCTCCTTCAGTGGCATACTTGTGGGACAACACAGACTCCTCTTTTTTTCACGTACAGTTAGTGGTGATGGGCCTATTAGCGCGTGCGCCTGATCATTTTTTTCTCTAACTGCTGCTGTGGTGCCAAACAAGGTTGTCCAAAAACGCTTAAATGTACCATATATCTATTTTTAAGGATAATGACCCAAAAACCAAGAAGTGAGTTGACAAATCAGGATCTCAGGGTTAGTTCTATGACAGACTTTAAAGTGTTTGAATACAACACCAGTTTAGTTTTCTTCAGCTGCATATACTCTAAGAGACCTCTGAAATGTCTTAAACAACTCAAATGTGGTTGATTCTGTGCTGAAAGTTTGTATAGTTCCCATCTCTGACCATTTCTCATCCAGCCACAGTCTTTACCTCTCAATTTCCCTTCGATTACCGCTAACTGGTATGGGTTGTTTTTTGCATTACGTCCATAGGCCTTATTGCGCCAGGCCGATGCGTTTCGGGTCAAGTGGTCCGAAAGATTTTTTCTCGGATATGTCGCCGAAATGCATTGACCGAGACAGGACTGGAAAGACTGTACAGGGATTAGGCAAGGTTGTTGTATTTCGTAAACAAAAACATGACCACTAAGGAGCTGATTTGAGAGAATTATAAATCGGTTTGTTTTTAACTGTCCTCGACAGATATGAGTTGATGACAGAGTGCTGGAAGGAAGACCCAAGAGCTCGACCCAGTTTCTACCAGATGATAGAAAAACTGGAGATCATCATGCAGAAGGATGCACCATATTTGGATGTGAACAAGCATAATGAAGCCCATCCATACTATAACGTGCCTCCACATCTGGAGTAACTACTAATGAAGAACGCTACGTAGGGCCGGCGGTTTCTAATTAACCTGAACATTTTATTAACTCGTCAACGGAGATTCCCTTTTTAAAATGGTCCCCTGATTAAACTTAACCGTACGGTATCTAGCGAAATTAAGCAATTTGTGAGCTAAGAGTTTGTGTAACAGAAAACAAGTTAATGCAAAGTATTATGTGAAAATTTCAACGTTTACAGTTCTGATCTTATGGCGATGATTATACATTATGTATGCGTATGAGTTCTAGTTGCGTTACGTGTTCAAAATGCCTCCACATCTGGAGTAACTGCTAATGAAGAACGCTACGTAGGGCCGGCGGTTTCTAATTAACCTGAACATTTTATTAACTCGTCAACGGAGATCCCCTTTTTAAAATGGCCCCCTGATTAAACTTAACCGTACAGTAAATTGCGAAATTAAGCAATTTATGAGCTAAGAGTTTGTGTAACAAAAAATAACAATAATAAAATAATGCAAAGTATTATGTGAAAATTTTAACGTTTACAGTTCTGATCTTATGGCGATGATTACATTATGTATGCGTATGAGTTCTATTGCCGATCTCCACATAAGATTCGGACGCACGACCCTCCGAGTTCTAGATAGGATTCTCCAGGTACTGGGCTTCTGAAAGTGCTACGGTGTTACATGCTTGCAATGCAGGCCTATTTTGTTGGCCGGCAAAAGCTGTTTATTTATGTCCATATTGCCGTGGACAACAGAGAAAAATTGAAGAGAATAGTAACAGCAACACTTGGGGTTTCCCTCGGAGTAGACGGTAGGGCAAAAGAAGGAGGCGGGGCATGGGGAGGGGAGAAGTTTTTTCTCTTCTTACCTCCGCCCCCTTCCCTGCTCCAACTTCACGACTCCTTTGAAATTCAACATGGCGGTTATATATGGGAGCAGACGTTTGCGCACCCGAAGAAAACGCCTGCAATACAGGCTATAATTTGAGACAGGTTACTGGATAGGTTTATGAGCTGCCTGGTAGCAGAAATTCCATTGCCACCAGTAATAGATCAGTTGGAAAGACACCAGAAGGAACTTCATTATCCATCACATTTATTGAATTTAGTAGGTAACTCTCTCGGGCAAGAAGCTCTAGGGACTATCCCTAACTTTCCTGCTGGGGTACCCTGGGAGGATCCTTTCATTAGGGACACAACAATTGAGTTAGGTATTCTCTCGTCATTCCTGCGTGGTAGGCGCTCGAAAGCTAGAGAAGTCGCGCGAAAGTTTGACAACGCTATGAGTGCACGCCCTTCCCTTCAAACTTTTGCCGACTTTTGGAAGGTCTCAAAGATATAGCCCGTGGGGTCCACTTTGATAAAATGAGAAAACAACCAACATTTCGCGAAGCCACCGAGTCCCCGCGAAATACGGTCCGAGGAACGCCTGCAGAAATTCCATACTGATGACGCGTCATTACTCAGACCTGGGTAGTGCTTCCGATTGGTTGAAGCAAATTTCTCACGCAGAACGACCAATCAGGAGCACTACCCAGATCTGAGTAGTGACACGTCATCAATATGGAATTTCTCGTGTTTGTTCCTGAGATGTGATTAGGCGGAGAAACAAGCCATGGTGTCGCGAAATATCGGCTATTTTCCCGGGCTACCATTCTGATAAGAGTTCCCAATAAAGACCCGGCTTTGGCAGCTATGTTTCAGAAACCATCCTACGCTGCAGAAGATTCTAATTTGGTATCTTCTTTTCCCTTTACCAGAGAGGGTTTCTTTCGCTTGAAGTCAATCCGGATCTCTATTAGCCCACGTAGCTGTTGGTTCCTTTCCAAAGTGCATGAAGCCTGCGAATTAGGCATAGTGTCTCTCTCGCGCCTGTATTCCAAGAAACACTGCCACAAAGACATGCACACTTTTGGATTTTCTCATAAAAGACAAATTCAAAATCAGATTTCCTTTCCAAAATTTTTCCTTGAATCAGCTCTAAAAAGCCAAAAGCCACAGGAAAAATATTAATTTTTAGTAGTTTTCAAGTGCCAGATAGTTTAAACGATTCTAAGAATTTGTCATTTCGAGCTATGTAATGCTATTAAAAAGGAGTGAAAAAAATAAAGTAAGCTAACAGTTGATGAATTGTATTTTCATAAATATTGGCTCCGAGGTTTGGCGGGGATGAAACAAAAGAGATGTATTAATTATTAATTACTGAGCCTCAAGATAATTTCTTTTGGTTTTATTCCCCCAAGCCTCGCAGCCAAGTATGAATTTTAATATATCGAAATTGGTCTATTTTTGAATATCTGCGATGTTATTCCCTTCCCTACAAGGCATTGCCAGGAGCGCTGTCTGCTAGGGCCCAGTACCCAGAGGTACAGATACAGATACAGAGGAACGTTCGTTATAACACATGTGTTAGATAATGAAGATTTGAGTACTTTTCCAGTCCTTGGCTATTCTTTGTTTAGTTCAATGTAGATAAGAATCTCGGGCGTCAGCAATATTTTCTTTGACGCACCTTACTTTTTCACGCATGCAATCCCATACGTTGTTTGACCACCTTTTTTGCGCCTTTTCTCCTTGCTTCATACTCATCAATTTAACTGAGGGGATCATGGAGCCATGACATCGGATGACATGAAGGCGAAGTTTTAAGTGTCTCTTGCCAGTCGAAAGGGACAGTGATATGATGGAATGGGAGCAGAAATCAAAACTCAAAACCCACTTGGGGCTAAAAGCGAGGTATAAAACCGAAATTAAAACAACAATCTGACAAATCTGACCCTTCTGACTATGGTATAGCCTGCGTAGCATGGCGGTTTTGTCGAGCCGGGCGCAGGAGCGGCGTAGCCGCGAAATTCGCGAAGCGCGGGAGAACGAGCGGTTGCTTCCGCCCCAATCTCCTTGCGGTTTCTCTGCCCTCGCCCGCCTTTATTACTTAGCGCGCCCAACCAAAACCGCCATGCTACGCAGGCTAACTATGGTACTACAAACAGCATTACCTTGTTCCACCACCCTCTCCACCCACAAAATATACCGCAAAAAACTATACGGGAGGGATATCCTCTCTTGAACACCTCCCATTCCGGCCCCAACATCACGTACCGGTGCTTAGTTTTCGCCTATAATTAGAGAAATTAACGAATCCAGCGATCGGCCTCGAAAGTCACACGGAACAATTAGACATTGATAAGCGAAAGATCACTCGAAACAGAAAGATCGCGTGAGGTTATATTAAAACCGTGTCAGAAAGAGGTGCATCATGGGCCACAGTAATATTACAGAAAAAAATATAAATAATTAAATAAAAAATGATGTGAGTCATGTGACTTGAGCGCTGCAAAAAATGCTTGCAGTTGAGTCAGGTCAAGCGTACTCGCCTAGATATAATGAATAAATTATTTCGAAAATCAATCCTTTAGTCGTTGCCCCAACCAGAATCAAATTCAAATCAGCATCCCTGAATGCCAAGAGCCATAATGGCTCTCGTGCATACGTAATGAGTACTGAATTATTTTTGGAAAACCTCTCTGTTTTCGGTCAGATTGAAAATTGCTTTGAAGACATTTACGTCAAATTCAAGAAAACTGAGCTGGGAGAAATTTCATAACCACCTCACTTGTGAATTCACTTTTCATTACTCATGCAGGAATGCAGAGATAAATTAACCTTAAATCTACAACTACCAACGGATTCAACTTAGAATAATAAATTCCGTGAAATTCATTAATAATATAATCTACAGGGCGGGGGGTACCTGCAACTGAATTTAAGAGAACATTATGTATAGTTTTCAGACGAGGCCTCAATGAGCTCATTGATTCGACACAAAGACCTTGCCTGGCCCCATGAACGCCTTTTTCTTAAGACCACGCTTTTG